ATAAAACTCAAACTGTGAACTATCAATATATTGGAAATTTGAGAACGAGAATAAGTTGACTAAATACGATATGATGTTAACAATTTGTAAAAATACAAATGCATGTACATTATATTCAGGTACCCATGATTCCCATAGACTTTTCAGAAAGCTGTTACAAATAGACCACTGTCGCCAAGCATCAGCTGAGCATCATTGTTTAAGCACTAGTTATGGAAACGTAGATTGTCTCTCTATGTGTCAGTGCTAGCTGTCGTGTCTGGTATACATTATATTTATAGCCCAGAGTAATATCTTACGAAGTCAAAGCTATGAATATATTATTCAATAAAAACCAACATTCGTTGTACAGCTAAGCTGAGATAAAGCTAGTAAGATTTTGATATGATCCACGCAAACCTGAGAAAATGCGGCCATCTCTTTCCTTAATTACATGTCCACTTGGATGTCTTTTCATTAATCTCAAACAAAGTATGAAAATTACTTCATTGTCTTTACTAGAACATTAGCTGTCTTGATCTGTTACAAACAAATTTGTAAATATTGAATGGAATTTAATGTCGGCAACACCATATCATGTAATGGGAGTTTAACAGGTACGTGAATGTGGAATATGGACTAACGATCTACATTTGTCCACATTGGTTTAAACAAACATGTATTGCCATAGTTACTTTAAATAATGCTATAATCCGCTTTTACGTTTGTTTCCACAGCCATGTGTCCTGAAGGCGATAACCCGCCATCAGAACTGCTGTTGTCTTGATTCCTCAGAAAACGACCACAGTAATCTTCATCGTTTTCCAAACCTGGACAGATCCTATTTGGGTAGACAAGCCAGATAATAGGCCTAGGTTGACATACACCTTACCTCGACAAAAGTACCATGTAAGTAGCAACAATGATTTTATAAATGGGTTACCTTCACACTGACTGTAAATCGTTTACATTGTATAATTAAAGTAAAATTCTTGAATTGTCTCAAGATATCAATGCTGTAATAAATGTAGGTGTTTATTTATTTTGTCTTTCTCGGCATTATGTAGTTTCGATTTCCAACATTTATAAATAGATTCTTCAATTACGTTATAGATTACGTTTAAATCGTTATAGATCTTTTGATAAATCAAAGCAACTATCATAATAGATACACATAAGCCCTAAACAATGCATGGCTTCGCAATATTTTTTTTTCTTTTCTTGTTAATACATAATTCAGATGAACTGTTTGTATTCTACATTTGAAATCAACACTAGGTATAAGACTTTCATAGACTGGCTATTAAAACGATCTTAAACCGAGTGACATCAAGCTACGTTTTAAATTTTATTGAATAAGCTTGTATTACAAATCTGAATTATTGCTAAACACGAAACGAAAACACAATATTTAAGATTAAAGTTAATTAGTTCATCTGAATATGTATGTTTTTTAAATAGGGAGATATGTCGGTTACTTGAAAATATTACCTCAAAATGGATATTTAAGTGAATTGAATTGCGGTCAAGATTATGGCATCGCACGCGTGTGTGGCTGCTAGTACTAGTCTGGGATAATGCCGATGTTATAGTGCTAGCCTACTGAGATACAATGCCGGAGTTTAACACGAATACCCCACTCAGACACAGTTTTCCGAGCCGATTCGTCCTTCTATAAACCCCTTTATGCTGAGCGCGAGGCAGGTTATCAACAAGAACCGTGTTAAAACGTCTTTTGGTATGCCGGGGATCGAACCCGATCCGGGGGAAGCTCTACCACTAGATCACGAAGGCGGTGTCTTGTTTGTCATTTGTGTGACCATTTCTATTTAAGGTGTGTGTACATCCCACTGTTAGATTTCACTCTGCTGGTTTTCATTGCCTTTATATGTGATGTCATCCGTTGAGGAACACAAGCCAGAGGGATAAAGTGAGGTCTTACATTTGTTTGGCTTCCTGATCCACCGACCTTAACAATAAAAAAAAATCAGAGAATATGACATTAGAATGGTGATTTTTTTAACCACAGACGATAAAAAGATCTTTGGACAATAACAATGGAAACTATTCCTCTCAGAGATTTTATCGTTCGTTTGATTGTTAATTGAAAGTATCTTGTGTTAGCAATATTATCTCTGGCGCTTCATCAAGGCTCAAATAATACTTTTACATGTTTAAAAAAGTATTATTTGACTTTCAAAACGTAAAACAACAAAATTCCCATAATACACAACACAACAGTTGGTGGGTATCTTAGACATCCATCTTTGTAAAATAGATAACTTGCTTTTGGGGGCACATACATTACAATATTTCAAACATGGTAGGGGTCGATCAATAGATCAACGTATTACACAGATTATACAATATGCAATAACAGGTAAAGATTATTTGACAAGATAATGCATTACTCTCTGTTATGACTGCAAATGCTCATTAAAATCAAGGGTTTCATCTTCAGAATAAGTGCTAGTTGATATTATCTCACTCACCCCAAGCCTTTTAGTGTGTTGGAAGCTCTTACCAACGATAATGATTTCGGCCATCGAGTCAAGACAGAATTAGCCGCCAGCAAAGCGTGATAGCAATTAAGGCAATGGCTTACGTTGGTTAGCTGTAAATACAATCAGAACTACATGCATGGACATATATGTTCATGGTCAGCCTTTACATTTCTAAAAAACCAACATAACATAACAGTGACCTTTCCAGCTGAATAACACATATGTTCCGTGTACTGGTACAAAAGTAACATATTCACCTCATCTAACTCCGCTGATGATGTTGTTAACTCTGATGTTGTTGGGAATTTCAAAAACAACGTTGCCACTGTAAGCACTGGTTAAGTTTCTTGTTTTGTAGTAAATTAACAGGATTCACATACACAACAACAGAAAAGTCTTTTACTTTTACTTTATTAAAAACTCCTCATACAGGACAATTATATGACTGTGTTTTGCAATACAATGAGCCATGACAGATTAATTATAACCATTGTCATGAAAAGCATACATTTAGATTTTAACCAGATTTATTTTGAGAGTATTGGAATGACACGCCACGCGCTGTCGGCGAGATGGTCCCATACAACTCCTAAACAGAGCCATATATTAATCAATTATTTTTCACGAATAAATAAAGCCCCAGAAATAATCGATTGTAGGATACCGACCATATCATGAACTTGTGTTTATGAATCACTTTCAACTAGTAATGATACCACTTGTTGGCGAAAAGGTGAACGTATCCTGTCCCACTGGTGGCACCCGTCACAAACACATGCAGAGGCAAGTCAAATGTTCACCTTAAAAACACACTGGAACGTTTTGTACAAGTCAACATAGGGACTTGCATAGGACATAATTTGTGTCACTGATGCGTAAAATTTGGAGATGTCCTCCACATGCCTGCCATAACACTGTTTGAAAGCTTTATTGAGGCTGTTAATGCTGTAACCTTGATCAAACAACTTCTGAGCAAGAGGCGCATGACGCTCTTGAAATCTTGGTAGAAATGTCATTTTCGATTTACCTCAAAAGTTGTTAAATATAGACACCAAAGGTTGGAGCCACTGGAAAATTGCTTGACAAAAAAAGGAAAGTTCAATCTTGGAATGTTGCAATTGAAGACTCATTCAACGGATTGGCGACAATATATGCCAAGGTTTTACTGCACACATTGTCAGCATTCGTCAGAGTGAAAAAAAGAAACATGGAGATGACAACGTTGCTGAAGATGATGGTCATGTTGATCAGAATGGTCACCATTACATTAATTTATAGAAAACATGTTATACAGCTAGTAGCTGCTCTTTACAACGGCTGCAGAGATAAACTAACTTAACAATAAACAGTTACTGCTTTAAATAAACAAAACAGGATTAATCACATGCTTAGGTTACCTCAATCTGATTAATCCCGGAAACAAGTTCTCCCTACAGCTGAGGACATCCATTACAGGTCGACAGAACGACCTTTTGTGAGTTTTGTCCTTATGACTTCTGTGAATAAGATTTTAAAACTCTTACATATCACTGTCCATTGCATGTACTGGGCATACAGACTGCCACATGCACGCAATCGGCAGTAGCACATGTACAGATTGGGTGTAACATATACATGCGGGGCATGTATAGATGCCTTTGGATTCAGAGATGTAACTTCCATTTTTTATTGTTTATTTATTTATTTTGGATACATGAATAGAAAATATCTTGTAGAAGAATGTTGTAGAAGGAATGTATTTGTATTTAGAAGTTATATAAATTAAACAGTTTATATTTCTATAATCATATGTACAGTGATATATGGTCGAAGATCAATATCTTCAGTAAAATTTGTATTTCAATATAAAAAAGTTTTAAAGTCATATCCATTCTCATAGACGTATTAGAAGTAACAATTGCATATAATAACTCTAAACTGAGGGCAAAGGAAAGCTAATGTAAAGCATCTTCAAATTGGTGTCCGCGTTAACAGTATCCTGAGTCATCTAAATATCTATCATGTCTAAGGCCTTTCAAATCACTGCACCCCCGGCATATATATCGTCGCCGGCGATAACATGTGACGATTGGTGAGATTATGTGCCGATATATATGTGCCCGGCGACAATATATGCCGTAACAGCAGGTATACTTTCGTTTGCTCGAAAGTTTAATTTAACCTATCAACGTTTTACGTAGATATCGATTATACAATATGCTGTATCAGTTAAAGATAGTTTGAAATGCTCTTTAAAATCAAGTGCTTCATCTTCAGACTTAGTGATAGTTGATATTATCTCACACCCCAAGGCCTTTACTGTGTTGGAAGCTGGTAAAACGATTATCAGCTCGGCCATTGAGTCAAGTCACAGCCGCAAGCAAAGCGTGAAAGCAAGAATTAAAGGTAATGGCGCCGGAAGCCATGTGCATGTGTAACGTTGGTTGGCTGTAAATACAATGACAACATGGACTGCCAGGTCTGCATTCACATTTATAAGAGGGCAACACAATATATCAGAATCAGTCACCGCTCAACTATATCCCTTTCCAGCAGATTAATACGTATGTTCCTTGTGCTGATACGAAAACAACATATTCACCTCATCTTATTCCGCTGATGATGTTGTTAACTCTGATGTTGTTGGGAATATTAACGTCGGCTGATTCACTCGCCTTCATGGACGAATCGCACTACGGTGTTTCTGGTAGGTGGTCTTATATTTCTCCTCAGCATGTTTAGCATATATATTACAATCTGATTGAAAATCTCAAGATAAAAAAGTAAATGGGATTGGGAAATCATTAACTGATATGTGTTATAGACTTGGTCTCTATAATTGTAAATGACTGGAACAGTGCCCATTTTTATAATATGGGTGCCATCTAAATTGATTATTGCATTATATCAATTAATGCTACAAGTTTTATCTACGTGTTTGCATATTGGTAATAGGTCGGAATCGCACCATTTCCCACTTGTATTGAAATACACATGTATAACAGAAAACACCCAGAAACATATACAATGTCCCATACGATAAATAGATAAGTCATGTGGACAAAAACATGAGTTTAAAGGAATTTTTTTACAGAAGAGATCACAGGCAAATTAGAAAAAACCGAAAACATGATTGTATAAAACGTTCACAATCTAATAGATATGTTCTGTTATACATTGATATCAGATTCAACGTTATTTCACAGATGTGGTGGACCCAGTGTTAATCCATTCTGCCCATATACGTCGTGAAAGATCCGCCACGCACATGCCTGATATTCTCCACTTCCGGTTTGAACTCTCTGATACAGAAGTTTCACTAAATTTGACACGGAGTGAACGAGACATAGAGAGTTACCCTGTCTATCTGACCGACGAACGTGGATCAACACTTCAAACCGATTTGCCGCTACATGATGTAAGCAGTGCTGTTTTCGATTCAAACCGTCATCTGAACACAATATAAAATCGTACGTGATCAATAGAAAATCTCCCCCGAGTGTCTTTTCATATTGAATATATCTACACGAGTCGATAAAAGTTTAAAAGACTCGTGGTTGAGATTCTATTTATCATCCAACATCATTCTTCCAACTTTTTCAGTTTAATAATCTAATCAACAATCAGCAGTGCCTCAAGTGTAAAAACACACACACATACACTCACTCGCTCGCTCACTCACTCACTCACTCACTCACTCACTCACTCACTCACTCACTCACTCACTCACTCACTCACTCACTCACTCACTCACTCACTCACACACACACACACATACAGACACGTATGTGGACAGAGCAAATTGCAAATATCAATATTCAGAAATAAACTGATGATTTCATAAAATAAGTATGCATTCATAACATAATGACAAAATGTTGTTGGTTTTGACAGAACACTGCTGTTTATCGTAACTCCCTACAAGGATCAGCCGCCATCATTACGCGAAAGGAGGCGGATGTTTATCAACTGGTAAGAAAGGGCTGCTACGTGATCAAGAATGGGCCCAGAATTACTGAAGATCATGCGGTTTCAATGTGCGACCTGGGTTTAAATGTGTCACCCACGAGGGTCAATTTGTAACTCATGTTTTCAACCACCTCATGTGCCCAAGACTTGTTTTTTTACTCTGTACCGTACTGGGGCATTTGTGACTGCAGAGTAAAACAAACACCTTTAACGGAATACACAACAACCTATCTTAAACATTTCGACTTGGATTGAGGAAATGTAGACGCACGGGTGGCCTATTTGTCTAACGCTTCGCAAGTCACTGTACAGAGTTGCGTTCCTTATATATGTCAGGATCTGCTGTACGTGTATTCGAATATCTATATATCGCTGATTAAATATTTGGTTTGTCAGCATCATACGAGTACTCATTGGTTAAAATCAGAGCTGTAAACGTCTAGGAAGTGCTTCTATTTGTTCTTTCCTCACCCATTAAGATGACACGCCTTGATATAACTAGAATACTATTTCAATCTCGCGTTAATCCAGCAACCATCAATCGTTGATAAATTTATTGGATTGATAGAGACTTCGGCGGTTTAGTCTGTATTTAGACAAAGATATGTTAAATGATATATGTATAACATATTGTCATGTTGACTTTATGCTTCTTGAGGCTGGGACAATCCATCACAACAACCAGACGTACAAGATCTGGCCAAAGAAACATCACGTTTACAAGCGCCAGGCATCCGAAAGCAGAAACCAGCACATGGTGGCCCAGATTGTGTCCTTTGATCTGACAAATGACACAGTGGACCTTCAGCTTGAAACTCCTTTCAGTGTTGGAGGCAATCCGGCAAATGTAGAAGGCACTCCGTCAAGCGTACAAGACAGTCCTTCAAATGTACAAGGTATGTCATCGAACGTTTAGGCATTGCGTCAAATATACAAGACATTCCTTCGAATGTATGCCATCGAACGTTCAAGGCATTCCGTTAAATAGACAATGTACTAGGCATTCCATTAAACATTCAAAACATTGCGTCAAACGAATAAGGTTTTACGTCAAACTCCGACAACGGTCAAGTTTATTATACGACAAGTTAATTCATTGTCACTCATGTACAGGCAATTAAACCGTCCCAACTACCCCATACTTGCGGGAATGCTGGTGATTGGCGAAATCAATATAATCCCACATTCACCTAGGTATTCTTTATCAGGAGATAATAAATACATGTGAATGTTTACATTATGTTACAGGCATTTCAAACGAGCATGTTCAATATACCGTGGAGCTGGCTATCTTCCCGGATTTCACTGACTATACTATGTAAGTCCTACATTCGTGTTCAAAGACGTCTAACACTTAGCTACATACAGGAGGTGGGGTGCACTGGGATTTAACGTCGCGTTCAAGATCATTATACTTATAAAGCGACGTGCATGTGTTTGTGTGTGCATGTGCGTGTGCTTGTGCATGTGCGTGCGTGTGAGTGTGACAGCTGGTTCATGTACCTGTCCATAGTTTTATGGTGATAGCCCGCTGATATAGCGTGCTGCTGTTTAATATGAATATCCCACTCAGACACAGTATACTGACTCCGGGTCGACCAGTCCTTGTGTAATCCCTATATACAAGGCAGGGAAATAACAAGTACAATCTTTTGACGTATTGGTGGATGACGTTGCCGGGGATTGAACGTAAACATTGTCACTGTGCGACTAATGTACAAATTCCATACATACAGTATAAGATAATCTATGTTATGCAGACATGATAGTTTTGTTTCCAAATATCGTAACATGTGTCCATTATTGCAGCTTCCTTGCTTCCGCCGAGGGCAACACGACCGCCACCATCTCCAACATGAGATTGTACTATGCCTTCGTGCAGGAAATGGTAAAACAGTATTGTTACAATATCATGCTACAACACATCATTGTGTCACAATGTACTTAATGAAAAGTCCTGTTTGTCTCCATTATGTCCATGTATCAGCATTTGAAAGTCTCATTAAATATCCAGTTCAGTATTTTGAATACATAAAGACATTAAATATAGTGCTACATTTTAATAGCAAGTTTTATGAAAATCTAGGTTAGACATGTGGAGGACATTTCCAAATTTCAAATAAGCGACAAAAATGATGACCGATTCAATTCCCTATTTTGACTTGTGCCAATTGTTACGGTGTTTTTCAGGTGACTTGCCTTTGTATGTGTTTGTGACGGGTGCCAAAGGTTGGACAACATACGCTCACTCTTTTTGCGAACACCTGCTATCATCACTATTCAAAACTGATTCATATACCCATGCTCATGATGTAGTCGGAATTATACAATCGGCTCTGTTTTTGGCTTAGGTATATGGAAAGGGTTTTGTAGCGTCTTTTTATTCACACTTTTTCTCTAGGTTTCTAACTTAAATTACTTAAACATGGCTTGATATTACAGATGCAGATTCGATATGATACAGTGAACGCACAGGACCCTTCAATCTCCATCACTGTCTGGATAAAGTACATCAACATTGCCACGGTAAGCAAGGGAACCCATCTTTCACTGTAACTGTCTGCATAAAGGACATCAGCATTGCCACAAAAAGCAATGGGACCACCTGTCTCTATCACTGTCTGGATAAAGTACATGAACATTGCCATAGTAAGCAAGGGAACCACATGTCTCTGTCACTGTCTGGATAAAGTACATCACCATTGCCACAGTAAGCAAGGCAACCCTTCTGTCGCTATCACTGTCTGGATAAAGTACATCAACATTGCCACAGTAAGCAAGGGAATTATTCTATCGCTATCACTGTCTGGATAAAGTACAACAACACCATTGCCACAGTAAGCAAGGGAACCGATCTTTCTCGGTCGCTGTCTGCATAAAGTACATCAACATTGTCTCTGTAAGCAAGGGCATCCTACTATCTCTGTCACTATCTGGATTATCATGTATGTATGATCATACTTCCTTAAATCATTACTATTTGATAGCGATTCATAAACATAAGTTCATGATATAGCCGGAATCGGAAATCGACCCTGCTTTATGCATAGAGTTCTACTTAACATGGAAAGGATTTTGCGCTTTATTTTCTACAGTTGATGTATGTTTGATCATAAACCCATTCGAAGTTACTTTGTCATGTACTTTTTCTATGTTTACTGACTTTAGCACAAACGTGTATATGTATGATATACGTTTCTTCAGTTACTGAGTTTATCATGCACGTGTTCCGAAGTTATTGTGTTTATCGTGCACGTGTTCCGAAGTTATTGTGTTTATCGTGTACGTGTTCCGAAGTTATTGTGTTTATCGTGTACGTGTTCCGAAGTTATTGTGTTTATCGTGTACGTGTTCCGAAGTTATTGTGTTTATCATGCACGTGTTCCGAAGTTATTGTGTTTATCGTGCACGTGTTCCGAAGTTATTGTGTTTATCGTGTACGTGTTCCGAAGTTATTGTGTTTATCGTGTACGTGTTCCGAAGTTATTGTGTTTATCGTGTACGTGTTCTGCAATTACTGTCCGCTTTACAGGACCAATAATATTGCCACCAGGTAAGATAAGCTTCTTTTTTCACTGTGGCATATATGAAAAGCAATGTTAAGAAATAAACTTCTGTATTTATTATGTACAGGTTGTACATATGCTGTATGTGTCATGAAAATGTTCTACTTATACTGTATGTGTCATAAACACATTCTACATGTAGAGTGTATCTACATATCTGTTCGAAACATTTTATGTGTGTCAAACATGTTCAATGTATGTAAAAACGTTCTACAGATAACGTGGCATCGGTAGTTTCGGTATATATCATATACTAGTATACGTTATGTTTGAAGCACATACATGCTCTACAATTACGGCTAATTCATTTACTTTATTTGTCATACAGGTGTAAGTGTTATCCACACTTTGTGTATGCCCTGAATAACAGCGTGTTTATCTAAAGCTGAGACAATGACAGAAACAGTGTTACTACTACTACTACTACTACTACTACTACTACTACTACTACTACTACTACTGTCTGGGTAAGTTTATATTGTGATAGCACTTCTACAACGCAGAAGGGTAACTAACAATTTATTTTTTTTGTTTCTCAAGTCCGCCGCTGGATCTCCTTGGACCGAGACCACAAAGAACGGAACCGTTGTACCCGCTGTACCGGCTCTCCTTGATCATGTACAATTCCTCTCTGCTAACGCCCCTATGTCAGCCGACGCCTATATGATCTTCACAAGGTAAGCTACATGCGTTGTATATGTGTGTAATACATGTAAAAGACGTGGTGACCATTAGTCCATGCAGCTTTAAGCAATGGTACGCCATTGATGAACATGTATCCATCTGAGGGTATCAGCCCAGATCGGTCTTTGGGCGTACTTCCTTAATATTATGTTTCCCTTCAATATTTAGGTCACGTGATAGGCGATCATCAGAACCTTGTGTTTAGTGTTGAGAGACCTAGGATAATAAACTGCCGGCTAATCTGGGATTCCTACGCGCGATCTTGGATTTAGTTTTCCACAACTAAAATTTAATATTGCAGAAGGAAATGACGTGATTGTGTATGATCAAATGTTCCTCGTCATTGATATAACATTTCTTATTTGCAGGTATGACTTGACATTAAGGGGATCTCCCGTAATAGGTGAGTCAATTGGATTCAGGAGCTTGGCTTTGGTATTGTGCATATTTTATTTTATTTTATTTTATCTTTTCCAGTATTGTATTCCGATGTGAATTGTTACCATGAACTGTAACTGATGAAGATATGAACTAAATACTGTGTTCTAGGTATCTCCTGTGATGAAATTATAATTTATTACTTATGGGTAATACATGTTAGGAGTTATCAATATCGCAAACCAAGTGGGGATACCCAACGTGTCGCGTCAGGTGTATTCTATTCTCGGTGTTAAATGTACACCACAGTGCCAGACAGTGTTTTATGTTTGTTGTGTCTGTTCTAGGTGTGGCCGCTGTTGATGCTCTGTGCACAGACATCTCTGTAAGCATTACCCAAAACATACCTGGTGGTACTGTCGGGAGTGTTGCAGCTCATGAACTTGGACACATGTAAGTGTTTTTACTCTTATAGGAATGTTCCTCTACTGTTTGGGAAGTTTTCTTAGCAGGGAGGGCGAGTAATATGACCTTTATTATTCTTTCGGGGATGAATAGATACCGTGGGCCTGTATTCAATGAATTCAACTGTATTCAATGGTACAATATAATCTGACGCCCAACACTAAGTCTTATATATATTTGTGTCAGCATTACAATTCCTAGCAATGGAATATAAGTTGACCTGATTGGTTCTTCCTGTTTTAGCTTGGGTTTACAACATGACTCCGACATTGGATGCAACGATACCGACCGCTTTGTAATGGCTGCTTCATTAAGTATCGCCTCTCCACAAGCTCCATCTAATCCCTGGACCTTCTCGTCATGTTCTGTGGAGACTTTAAAGACTACTCTATCTACTCCTCAGTAAGTAAACTCTCATCGGTTATTGACGAATTTGAAGGCAGAACGTTTTAACCTTGCTTAATATGACATAGAGAAGGGGTTTGGTGTGGGGGATTGGGGGTTGAGAGAGGGGGTTTATGAGGATGGATAATTCTAATGGGCAATGATGTGTGTAAAGGAGAGGATTGAGGAGATGAGGTGTGGCCAGTGACCTTGATACTTCAAAGTGTTTTTACAAGATCACACATGGACCCGGAAGGGTGTTTAGCATGCTGCATATAAGCTTTTGTGTCTGATACATCTATTCATATACAGTGCTATATCACGTGATGACATTCTTTGTAAATTTCAGAAACAAGTTCGTTTATGTAAAAGAATGAATAAGACTGGGCTTAAGATAAGACGCAACCTTGACGAACATCACTGGAAGTAGTAAAACAAGGAGTTATCCCCTATTCAGTTTTTAACATGCTTTGACTGAGGAATGCATAGTTTTAGGAAATGTTGACAGTTTTCCACGACATCCTTTTGTGATCAATAGGTACAGGAGGTTTTTTTTCTATCAACGTAATCAAAAGCTTTCCGGAAAATCAACAATAAGAACGACCTCTAGGTTTAGATAAATATTTGGAGCAAAATGACGTTAGAACAAAGATATTGCCAACTGTAGAATACTCAGAGCAAAACCCTGCTTGAGCTTCAGATATCATATCATTTACTTCAAGCCCAATTCTATGTCGTTTTTCAACAATAAATGGAAATAGTTTTCACATGACATTCAAAACAGATATACCTCTGTAATTGTTTAGTTGACTGACATTTCCTGATTTGTATATAGACGTTATCATTCAAATATTCCATTCATCTGGGGAAAATACCTGTATCAAGGATTTTATTGAATAAAAGCAACAAATATGGAATTAGGAAATCTCCTGATATTTTGTGAAATTCTCCTGGGACTCCATCAACGCCTGACGCTTTACCATTTTAAGGCTTTTTAATGCTTCCCTCAATTCTTGTTCTGTGATCTCACCAGATAACATTTCTTCCGTGAAAGGAAGTTCAGTACATTCATCACAGAAATGAGTATTTAAATATCAGATATTGATAGATCAAATTCTGTTTTGCCCATCATACACATCGGATACAATAAATTATGAAAATAGGAAAGCCATACATTAGGAGTTATAGAACTGTCTGCTGATTTTTTGCGTAACGACTTCTTAAGTATTTTCCAAAACGTTTTACAATATCGATAATGCGCTGCTAACTTAATTTCTTCACTCAATTTTTTGTCATACGATTTTTCTAACGTTCAAAAATCTTTCTAAATTCTGATTTTGCAGTTACATATTTGTGCAAGTTCAAATCACACTTATGATTTCTGAAGTTGTTGAGACATAAATACTTTCTAGATTTCATATTCTTACACTCACTGTCAAACCAGGCTGGCTGAGATACACGACATTTTCTGGACCAAGAAACAAACAGCACCAGCACTTGTAGCACAACATATCACAATGTCAGTGAGCTTAGTAAGTGCTATCCTTCAAAATGACTGCAAACTCACTAAACATTTCTCCGTATATCGTATTACCGAGAAGGAGGTGGTAGGAAACAACTTGCTCAGGACTTAACTTGTTGTTTATCATATACTGAACAACAAAAGTTCCTGTGACATTGAATAATATTTAATGCAAAGTTATGTTTTTTACCAAATCTGAAACAATTTCGGTATGCAACAGATAAAAGACTCCTGTAAGTGTTCAAATGGTTTTTAATTTACAGAAAATGCGTTATTTCATAAAAAAACCCATGAAAATGTCAATTTACAAATCAATAGTGTGTGTGTCCACCTCTGGTTGCGATGCAAGCAACATATCCTCGTCTCATGGAATGGACCAGGCGTCGCACAAAGTCCTGTAGGATATCTGTCCATATCTGCTGGAGCATGATTCGAAGTTCCTGGAGTGTCTGTGGAACACGTGGTTGACGTCGAAGGCGCCGAACCATCTCTTTCCACATGCGCTCGATTGGTGAGATATCAGGGGAGTGAGCCGGCCAGGGGATGACATTCACGTTGTTTTGTTGAAGAGAATCCTGAACATGTCGAGCAATATGAGGCCGGCGTTGTCATGTTGAAAAGGTAATGCCTGGGCCATGACGACACAAAAACAGTTAAAGAACAGGGCCGATGTTCTCGTCGCGGTAGCGCTGTCCATTGAGATTTCCCTCTACCACCATCAAACGGGTTCTCTGTCTTGCTGTAATCCCACCCGATACCATAACGCTGCCGCCCCCGAAGCGATCTTCTTCCATGACACAATGATTGACGTAACGTTCACCTCGACGTCGGTACACTCGAATCCGTCCATCGCTGTGGCTGAGGTGAAAACGCAACTCGTCAGTGAATAGAACTGCATGGCCTGTCCAGCGTAGACGCTGTCTGCACCACTGTAGACGTGCTTGACGGTGGTTTCCTGCCAATCCCTGCACATCTGAGGCGATGACGTACGGTTTGTGAAGATATTCGTCGAAGGCCAGGGATGCTTCTTGCAGTCACTGTTACTGGCTGGAATCGATTTCGCATGTGTGTTGTTCGAATCCAGTTGTCGTGTCGACTATTGGTTACGCGTAGCCTGCCACTCTGAGGATGGTCTCTGACTGCATTCGTCTGTTGCCAACGTTACCATAAACACCAAATGGTGTTTCTGTGGACGTTAAATTGTCTTGCAACATCACGTTGACTTGATTCAACTTCAAGCATACCAATGGCTCGCAGACGCTCATTTTCGGACAGGCGTGGCATGTTGAATAATACGTAATTTTATTGTTTTTCAGCACGATTGTTGTCAGCACGATGTTAAACGATGCACATGAAATCCCGTTAATGCACATGATTTTATACCCATTCTTTGGTAGTGAAATGCATGGGGCTTGCATAAACGTCAACTTTTGCATGGAATGCATGCTTTTCTGTAGCAGTTGCGTTTTTGTGACTTGATTCCATACATGTACTACAATATTGAAAACCAAACTTTACTTGTTTGAAAAATACACTAAAATATTGGTGTCACAGGAACTTTTGTTGTTTAGTATACATATCGCATCATCAGTCATATTTTCCAAGAGACAAATAATACCAACAGTTTTACAAACATTCAGCTTTTGATCTCAAGCCGTGTCTAAGTACAGATTCCAGTTGTGATGTCCACATCGTCGGCTTGACCATTCCTGGCTGAAGCACTGGGTTCAGTTTGATAGTCTCTGTTATGAGACTTAGCAGTACTGTCAAGCACTCTATCTGTTGATGCTGCAACTGTCACATTATTAACAGTACCTGATGTATCGATAAAATTTGTAGTAATTTTGGTACACTTGTCAGAAGGACAATGTACCAACAAAACTGTGACCTAGGAATGTAAGGCAAGCGTTTTTCTTATCATGGTGATGTTTACCAGTATTACTCTGATTATGACTGCAACCATGGCCACACCCCTAATCTCCCTCAGCCTGGGTATCACTCGAGCTCGCTGCTGAAGCTAGTTCTGCGATAAATTGTCTGCGTCACACCCAGTGACGTCTTTGTCCATCTTTAAAGAGACCCTCCTGTTTCTTATCCAACACAAACACAGATACCTCGACCACAAGCTTATCATAACTCAGATAGGCAGTTTTACCATCGTCTCTGGCCTGCTTCATAAAGGAAAACAATTCAGATCGTACATTTCGAACTCTCCGTGTAAAATCAACAGGTACTCTAAAGAAATTCTTTAGTTTTAACTCTTTTTTTGCAACACCGAAAACCTCAGAATTATCCCTGTAAAAAGAAAATATCACTATTATGGGCCTGTTTGTTGACTTTGGGTGTAATCTGTGTACCCTTTCAATGTTGATAGAATCAGGAAAGTCAAGATGGAGTGTTGAGGCCATAAAATCGCTAACTGCCTTCTCACTCTCCACCCAAATCTTATCTTTCTTGACGAGTATTCCGTCAAAAATCAAACTATTTCGACGTGTTTGAGCCTCTATATTATCTGTCTTGGTCTCCAAATCAAACACCTTCTTCTTGAGAAAGTCATTTTCTTTTTCCAAATGGCTTAACCTTTTATGATAGACCTGTATGACATCGGCTATTTCCTGATTGAGTTTAGCAATTTGTGACTGTATTGTGGTCAGTGTAATAGCTAAAATCATTAAGGGTAATGGATGCACTGTCAGAATTAGATGGGGTAATTACTTTGACCAGAGACGTTGCGAGAAGATAGTCTAGTCTGTACACCTTCAGGTTGTTTCGGGGGGCCGGGGTTCGACTCGACATCTCCTTCGACAAGTAAAAGGGTAATGGACAGAAGCAACAATCCCAGCCGCGTACCCCCTGGAAGCTTTATACCGGGGTATTCTGACGTCCTATTCTGGCTCTCCAGATACTGATATCTATCCCCATACCTGCTATTTGCGATCACCATATACTTGGACAACATATGCACCTTCGTTTGTTTGGAAGACTTTTCTTCTTTTCCCACAAATTCAGATTTGTTTAGGGGGCAGTGAAACAATCGCCATGCCCAGATCACATGATCTATCGCTAAGCATTCATATGTATTTATAATGGCGTAAATGTTATTTATCTATTAATTACTTTTTGTTCTGGTATGATAGCAGATTAATGCGAGAAAGCCCTTTCCATATTCACAAGTAATATGTGATTAAAGCAGAGTCCATTGTACGATTCCGACAATATCATGATCATGAGTGTTATGAATCACATGGTGAAAAGGGTGCCAAAAGGGGATCGTATCCTATCCCATCAGTGGCACCCGTCACAAACACATACAACGAAAAGTCAATTGTTCAACTGGAAAAACACATGGGAACACATTGTCAAAATAGGACATTGCATCAGACAAAATTTTGGTCACTGACGGGTGTAATTTGGAAATGTACACTTGTCAAGCATAAAAAGGTGAAAGCTTTATTGAGGCTTTGCGTGTTGTAACCTCAATCAAACACCTTTATGGAAGAAGCGTTCTATGATGGCGTTCTTCGACATCTTCGGGGAAAGAGCATACCTCTTTGACTTTTGGAAAGTTGAAGTCATCCCATTTGGCATACAGTCATGGGAAGAGAGATTTAGTTGTCACTTTGAATCGTTAAGCATAAATCTAAATAGGAAACAGGTTTCACTGGTCTACTGTATATCTAGTTTAGGTGGGTCGATAATTGGCTATTTGGTCTATATTGAACAACATCAGACCATCGATATACCTTGAAGCTAAAGTTTCATATTCACTTGTTGTGACATTGTTTTAACAAATGTAATTTCAGCGTGCCCATAACACAGTAAATGTGTATCATTCTGTTTTCCCTCCAGAAGCGCTTGTGCTCTCAACACCTCAATATCCGGTTCTATTCTTTCAACGGACGGACGACGTGCAGGTCAAACGATTAATAGCGATCAGCAGTGCGTAGCAGAACGGGGACCTCAGTCGTGGTTTTGCAGGGTAGGGAAACAGCAAACAGGTGTCACAGCAAACATTGATCACTTTATTATCACAATTCGACTTTTTCAAATGGTGTGAAAATAAAACGTCATGAACTATTTCCCAAAAAGGATAAACGATTTATCACCTTAACTTTTACACCTTGAATATTTTGGTATTTCTTTTAGTTGTAACGAATGGATGGAATAAAACACCATGGATAACAGATATAGTATATGGATTATTGATGTTTTTAGACTATTTTAGATACTTCCTAAATAATAAACTTCGGATGTCATTTCTTGATACTGATAGAATGCATTTGTGTACATAAACGCTCCTGTTTTTCACGTTTTGGTTTACATAACCATTCCTTGAAAGTTGGTTTGTTCTCTACAATTCCAGGCTGTCTCACCTTACGAAAATGGAAACAATTTTGAGTTGATGTGTCGGGTTCAGTACTGTTTTGGAGCAGGAAACCTGTGCTACGGGAGGTTTCCCTCAGAACATACATCATGTGGCGATAAGAAGGTGAACACTGTTATCGTATTTAATCAACTATTCAGCTCGATATCAAGGGATTGAATTTGAGATCTTGTGTCCTGTCATGCAATGGAAGTTAACTAAAAGCTTATAAATCTGGAACTATTATAATTATACGATTCTTGCAATCGCCAAGGGTTTGATGGTGTTTACATTGGCATTCATATTGATGTTGTTAAGAGAATATTAAAATTTAGAAAGGAGGATTGCACTACATACGTTTGCGGTATATATATCTTACGAAATATGTTCGAACTAAATAAAATTCAAATCAAGTGTAATCAACATAAATGTGTTCCAGTGGACAAACAAATGACACATGTCTTCAGTCAAATCACTGTTTCTCTAAGTTTACGATCATTCTGCAGTTGACAAAGCAGACACAATTTATGGATAACTGTAAAGGCGACGTTTCGGTATAGTGTTGTGAAGCAGGAGTGAATTAGGAACATTGTACAAAATATATATAGGAGGCAATGGGATAACATGAATAGGTAATGGCAACAGAAGGATAATACCGTCACAACATATTGGATAGAGTACACATACATGTATGTGGAAGCCAATAAGACATAAAGCCAATTAAACTGGATAATTTTTCATATGGTGTGGTAATTATTGCTTAATGAGTTCATAGTAGGCGGATTGGATGAAATGGCCTTGATCTCTGTTGATTGATGGCTTGTGGACTGCTTCTGTTAGTTTTCTTTTAGTGAAGGAGCGGAGGTTGTTGGAGAGGATTCGACGTTTTCCAAGTTAATGTTGTGATTGGGACAAATGCTGATATGGTCCGAGCTGGCTGATTGACTGTCTTATTTAATGGTCGAGGATTTGTGCTCTTTGATTCTGGTGTTGTTGGGGCGGGATGTTTCACCTGCATAGGACTGTCCTCAGTTGCAGTCAATTTTATAAACTACACTTTTAGGCTGTTGAGGTTGGGTTGAGTTTCTGCCGTTTGCTCTTAGTAGGGTATTGAGGGAAGGTGTTTGCTCTCTGGGGAGGCGGCTGGTGGTGTGGGGGGCTCTTCCTATGAATGGGAGGGCGATGCGGAAAGGCGCTGATTCGCGTTCAGGTTTCGCAGACCAGGGTGTGGGATGGAGTACAGAGGAGATGACTTTGTCGACGAGATTGGATGGATAATTGTTAAGGTGGATGAAGACTTGAAGGAGGTGTTCGATCTCAGGTTTGGGGTCAGTAGAAGAAAGGTTGATGGCTCGTTTCGTGAGGGTAGAGATGATGCCAGTCTTAGTTCTAAGGGAATGGTTGGAGTTGAAGTGGATGTACTGGTCCGTGTGGGTGTGCTTCCGGTAGATACTGGTTTGAATTTTGTTTGTAGGGGTCCTGGAGACAAGGACATCCAGGAAGGGTAGATGGTTGTTCTTTTCTATTTTGATGGTGAACCTTACACGGGGATGTTGTTGGTTTCGATGTTGTAGTAACAAGTTTGGTCTCGGTCTTGTTTTAGGATGACAAAGGTGTCGTCAACTTTTCTGTACCAGCAAAGAGGTTGGATGGGTGATGTGGTGAGGGCTTGCTGTTCGAAGTAGGTCATGTAGATTTAAGTTAGGATAGAAGTGAGTGAGTTGGGTGTAACGCCGCTTTTAACAGTATTCAAGTTATATAAGTGTCATCTGAATGTGGGAGGAAAGCCCGAAGTGATGCAGGTCTCAGACGTTTACCACTTCGGTGAAACCGACGAGCACGGGTATGGTGCTGGCAAACCAAGAAACATAATCGGAGTTAACCGGGATATGAACCCACAATCATAGGTTTCGCAAGGGACGCAACTCTGCACAGCGAATCGCAGCGCCTTAGACGACTGGGCCATCCGTGCCCCCAGTTAGGATAGGAGAGAGTTGGGATCACATCGGTAGGCCTTGTATCTGTTAGTACTAGTGTCTCGCGAACAAACAAGGAGACGGGCTTTAGGGGGGTTCCTGTGGATTTTGATGGTAGCTCTGGCATAGGGTGGATGGTGGTCATTGATGGAGAGTTGGTGGTGAAGTACTTAACTAATTTCAAAGTTGTCTTTCAGTTGTTTGAGGAGGGTTTTATGTTGGCGAAGGAGTTTGGCAGGTTGGTCCTTCTTGAACTTTACAGTATTAAAGAAGTTGTGTCTACTTTGTCATCCGCTCTGCTCTGCATTTTGCTGATGCAACCTAACGTTATGGTTGACGTGACACGTCGACTGTTTAAACTTAAAACGTTCTCTTGCAGTGGTGTGAACGTGGGGTGTGTGTCTCCAATGCTGCAGCTCCAGCAAAATCAGGTAATAACTCGATTATGTCTGAGACAAGATACATTTAGTGCACTGTGATAAACATCCATGATATGAAGAAGTCACTTTCCTTGTGTACTGGATTGCATCATGTATGCACTGGAAATTACACCTATAAATAAACTTTAAAATAAAAGCTATCATATGTGCCACATGTCTAAACGCAGCTAATCTGACATACACCTGCGTGATTTTTATATGATCTGCGGAAATCTGAGAAAATGCGGCCATCTATTTCATCAATAGCTATATTATGTTCACTTTCCAAAATCAGTACAACATATAGTTTATTTATCTAAAGAATGAAAATTGTTTATGTCTTTATTGCCTTCACTGAAGCTTAGCTATCTTGTTATCGTACGAACAAATTTGTAACAATAGCAAATGGACTAAAATGTCCGCAACACAATATCATAACAGGAGTTTAATATGTACGTGAAAAATTTGTTTGGATATCGGTGATTAGTTAATTACTTTCATGCGTTTTTTTAACTTATACATTCTTATTAAACTGAATCTCGTTTGGGGAATCCAAGTCTAGTAAAGGCTCTATTGAAATGATATCGCAGTCAAGTAGCCGCTTCCACGTTTATAATATATAGTAGGGTCGAACTGACAATGAGCTTTTTCCACATTTATTAAACAGATCCATATTGCCAAAATACTCTAAATATTCTTATGTTGGTGGGAGTATCCCTATCCTTACGCGTATTCTGATCGGCTTGCGCCGTTTCGATACAATTTGGCCATCGAACGGGGTGTGAGTCTTCCTGTTGGTGAAGGAAAGATGATAGTAGCGACGAATATGAAATAAGCCCTACAGAAACGTTCCGAATTGATCTGTCGTCTCTACTCCCATACGTCTGACATTGTAATATCACCTTTTGTCGTCTTTAAGGTCGATAACGGTCATTTCTTCCTCTATGGTTTCACCTAGACTGCAAAGACAGGTACTTAGTTTGGAACTACACGCAGTTATGTGGAAACGCAGCTCTTTCAATTTGAAATGTTGAAAGGACGCCATTTATTGACAATGGAAATGAGAATGTAACATATATTGATGATCAATTTTCACCATGCCTAAATCATAAGAGGTCACTACCATGGGTGTCACTACATCAGGATGCTGGTGAGATTAAGATATTATCTTTTGGCACCTTGACTTATTATTACATGTAAACGAGACCCAAGTCTAGCGGGATCGGGTGGTCAGGCGGTCTCGTGGGTCTATGCTCATGATGTCAAACACTGGATTGTCTGCCCAGGCACGATTAGTTTAAGACCGCTTGTATCTAGCTAGAATATTGCAAAATGCGGCGTTAAAAAACAAACAAGCCATTATAACTATGTGCATGTTTTCCTCTGCTGTATTTTGCCTACACGTTTGTTTCCACAGCCAAGTGTCCTCAAGGGGATCGTCCGGGGTATGGTTGTCAAGCGTCTAAATGCGCGACCTACGCAGCATTCCAGCTGCTGTTGTGTTGTGCCACGTGCGCTGCACAGATTCCTCAGAAAACGACCACAGTGAGATTCGTCGTCTTCCAAACCTTGCCAGGGGTCCAATTATTTGGTTAGGCAAACCAATTAATCGGATGACATACTTCAGTCAATCTGTAGACTGTATTTAGATAGTAATCAAGGAAGTTTTGAAATTCTGCCATGATGTGTGACACATTTAACTGTATTTGCAATATTATTAGGTGTTATTATATTGGTATTGCTCTCAGTGGTGTAGATAAAGTCATGAATTTAACTTCCTCATATTTGTGCAACTATTCTTCTGTGTCGTGTAATACAGGCTCCTCATACTTCATATAATTTGTAAATGTCAGATGCAAATGTTTCTGTGACGTACACAAGCACTGTGTTAAAGGATATATCATATGTTATCCCTGTTGTGATGAGTCTTTTATCGGTACAGAATGATGCCAGTGTTACCTTCGAATTCATGACTGAGTGGGACTTGTTTGTTTCTTACTTGTCGCCACGCTCGGCAATAAAACAGCTGTTTGGTGGTGGTATGTGAATAGACAAATATGGATCCGACAATCCAGCGATTGATATTGTGAGCAACAATTCACACCGTTGTGGTACGATGACACACAATCATGAAGTCACCAAACCTAAATAGTCGATCGATTAAGTCATACCTTACAACCAGCATGGGTTGCTGGGGACAAATTCTAACCAAGAAACCAAACGAGGGTAACTTAACGTCACTTTGGAAAGTGAGGTCGGTTGTAATTTTAAAGAACAACTTAACTGATTTATTTATTTCTGTTATTTTGACAGATCAGTTGAGAGTATTGATATAATTCCAAAATCTCTTGATGTGTGACACATTTATATATCAACATATTATTTAATATAATATTATGGGTTCAATCGTCTTTTCGTATGTTTGAAGGTCAGTGTTTTGGATAGTTAGACACAAGTACAAGAAGTGATTTTGTCCAAGCTCAATGATTATGAATAAAGACATATACTTCAGAATCATTATTGTATATACAAATTCAATATGTACTAACGGAAAAAGGAAACTGTGTTTCATATGAAGTTCAATGGAAATAAATTCATTCTGAAATTACATAATGCATTTTGTAATATTCTTCAAGACATCCCGACTTTAAGTTCGTGATAGACAATTTGCACATGCATGTTAATGCACGGCGCACAATTAGGAAGTTTGCGTGTTTGATGGGAGCCAGATACTAACATACGTGTTTTTTTCCATGTGAACAACACACAATGATTGTTTAGCCATCAGGTGCTCATGAAAAGAACAAACACTTTCGTTTAACCGTAAATAACGTTTACGCAATGCCGCGGCTTGACAAAAATTCACGTCTACGCGTTGTGGGTACACTGCAAACAGGATTAGCCGAAACGAAGTTGCCAGACATTTGAATGTTCATCGAAACTCAACACCACCTTGGAGACTTCCACGTCACCGTCAGACACGCCTAGCTTGATGCAGACATCATTGGAGGTTCTGAAGACAAGACTGGGACAGTGTGATGTTCACAGAATTGTCCAGGTTTCATCTGGACAGCTCTCAGGGTCAACATGCGTCCAGGAGAACCTTTTAGCGACGTTTCGTAACTCAACGTCGTCAATTTTGGGGTGGAAGTGTAATGGCATGGGGAGGCATCACAACAACACAACTTAACTCTTCGTTGTTAATAACAATTTGAATGGCGTACGCTACCGGGACAACTTCATTCCAGATCATGTTCTTCCGTTTGTGCAAATGCTGGGTTTAAAATCAAGTTGCAGCAGGATAATGCCCACCCACATATTGCACGTGTTGTAATTGATTATTTACTTATTTATTTATTTAATTTTTTATTTTTTTTTTGGGGGGGGGACATAACAGAACTGTACTGCCATTGCCTTCTATTTCTCCAGACCCTTCCCACAAAGAACATGTCTTGGATGAAATTGACCGACGTCTACGACAGGAACAGAACCAGGCGGTAACGCTAGTTCAGTTTGGGAAATGCTTTGGTTGACATTTGGAACAGCATCCCACAGGTTGTTTTCAATCAACTGGTGTCTCCAATGCGCCGCCGCTGTCGAGCCTGTATCAACGCAGATACGATATTGACATTGTTAGATTGGTTCTTACACCACACCTCTTTAGGTGGTTGTTATTTTCAATAACATCACATTTACACCACTTTATATTAGTCGCAGTTACTTCCTCCCGTGAGTATATGTAGAAATGGCAAAATACATTTCTTCGTAAATGACACACAAGTTACACAGCTACACGCATTGACAACTATGGCAATGAAAGGCCGAGTGTTTCCAGTCAAGAGGCATATGTATGGCAATTGACTTTAATTTATTCCAAACTCTGTCATGTAATCACACATCTCTACAATAACTGTTAGATTGCCATTCTAGAAGTTGGGGAATTAGTAGAAAAACGTACAACTTAATGGATAATAACTTATGAATTATTGCCTGTAGCGACGTTTCGATGTAGAGTCTTACACTTCTTTTCTTATTATTACAATACTGCTTGCCAATTCTACACAGATGAATGAATAGGGATCTACAGTGTGAATCCAAGATGCAAATATTTACATGATCAATGTTCCTATCATGTACGCAGCTGCTATTTTAAAGGATTAACATACTTAGCTCCTGTTTGTGATGTTTCTTTTGTCGGTACAAATTGATCCTCGTGTTACCGTGGTCAGTGTTGGACCACTGAACCGTAATGAGTGACGTGGATTTAACTCCGCTTTGAACAGTTTGGCAGTTTAAATGATCGTTCAAAATATATTGCTATGCTTAAATCCTTCATACGATTATAAAAAAAGTCCGAATATGTTTCAATAGCAAGGACAGTTACTGCAGTTGCATTTCGAACAGTTTGATAGTCAGTGAGTTAGCGAGTGAGATGAACAAACTGTTCAGTGCAGAGCTAGGGGTTACTGTAAAGCGTTAGCTTTCAAATGTTAAATTTAATATTTTTAAATCTTAAGATAACCCAGCTCAACAATGAAAACGCATTTTGTTTATCTCCATTGTACCATGTTAAAACTAAACTAAATGCAAACGCTGAGGCGTAAGTGAAGACAATGCTTGAATCAATTAGAATGGAACATATTCCCAACTCATGGTTGAATTTGGTTCATTGCTGCTTTGAACGGGATCGTTATTGATACATCGGATAGTCACAGCGTGTCATCTTGAGGAAGGCAGCAACAAGTGATAAAGATCTGAGACGTTTACCTTTCTTGTGAAACCATTCTGCATGTATAATACATGCACAGCGAATTGCGGCGAGACAACAGGGGCACCCACGCCGCCAGATTTAGCGTTTGATTGTTAACACATTGCTAAGCGTGTTCATCTGTTCAGGTGAAGAGGATAATTAGTTGCAAGTATCGCCGAAACAGAATCCAGAGTGCGTAAAAGGCAGACCTGTGGTGAAAAATATATGAACGGATCGCTCAATAAATGATGTAAACATTGGTTGTCCTTGGAGTACCTTAACATTGCATATATTGGGGATTGAAACCTTTAACTAATTTGAAAACTAATCATTCCATTGTTAGTCCTTTATGTGTATGACTGTTTTGTGTAAATCATTTTGTTTTAGTTATATTCTACATGTTTGAATCCTGCATTTTGCATAGTGAGGCACGCGTTTAAAATTTACTGCCTACCTCATTATACCCTTCCGTCTATTTCTTTATCCATCTAACGTCTATTTAATTATCCTCTGTCGTCTACATCCGTATCCCGCTACCTTCTACTTCTGTTTCCCTCTGCCGTCTACTTCTGTATCCCTCTGCCGTCTACTTCAGTTTCCCTCTGCCGTCTACTTCTGTATCCCTCTGCCGTCTACTTCTGTATCCCTCTGCCGTCTACTTCTGTATCCCGCTACCGTCTCCTTCTGTATCCCTCTGCCGTCTACTTCCGATAACTCTGTATCCCTCTACCGTCTACTTCTGTACCCCTATACCGTCTACTTCTGTATCCCGCTATCTTCTACTTCTGTATCTCGCTATCTTCTACTTCTGTATCCCGCTATCTTCTACTTCTGTTTCCCTCTATCATTTACTTCTGTATCCCGCTATCTTCTACTTCTGTTTCCCTCTATCATTTACTTCTGTATCCCGCTATCTTCTACTTCTGTTTCCCTCTATCATTTACTTCTGTATCCCTATACCGTCTACCCGTGTATCCTCTACTTCAGCACCGTTATATAACCGTATATTAAAAGTCCGAAAGACTTCAACCAATCATATTCCATTACCCGCTCCTATCCCTTTTACAATTTTGCATGAATAATGTTAGTGGTGAAATATCAGCTATGCACTTTGACAGTCGTAACACCCTGTGTATTCCTCGTTAGGTCTCCAGCATATGCTTGTCCGATCCGTGGTCAGGGTCGATGATGGTATGTAACTGAATGTTTTTGAGTTTGGCGTTGAACAAGAAAACAAAAGACAAAAAGGTCGGAAACCATATAGTCCAAAGAATATATTAGTATTTTCTAGCTTCAGCAAGATTTACCATGAAAGTATGATATACCTGCAAACCCCAAGCGCGACGGTGATGTTAGCCGTTGCTGTTACTGCCGTACGTGGTGTTAATACTCTTGTTTATGTGCACACGCATCCAGTCTGTATTTATAAATAAACAAAGTGTCTGGCCGCCTAATCACTTGATTAATGATACACATATGCAGTTCCAGATATGTCTTTATTTATAATTTTTTAAAAATCAAGTCTCAAAATCATTAAGCCTATCGGTTCAATATGTCGGAGTGCCCAAAAATATAGATCAGCAATACTTCAAACCTAGCATGAAAGAATGAACAAATTTCGAACGGAAAGTACTGTCCCCGCCGCGACAGTGGTGCCAGTTGTTGTCGCTGCTGTTGTAGATGTTGCTGTAGAAGTCGTAATAACAGTTGTTGCAGTTGCTGTCGCAGTGGTTGTTGTCGCAGTGGCAGTTGTCACAGTGGTTGTTGTCGCAGTGGTAGATGTCGCAGTGGTTGTTGTCGCAGTGGTAGCTGTCGCAGTGGTTGTTGTCGCAGTGGCAGTTGTCACAGTGGTTGTTGTCGCAGTGGTAGATGTCGCAGTGGTTGTTGTCGCAGTGGTAGCTGTCGCAGTGGTTGTTGTCGCAGTGGTAGCTGTCGCAGTGGTTGGCACGACTCCGCATGTTTGACAGCACCTCACTGGTTCCGTTACACAAAGGGCTGGAGTGCAGGCGACACCTGGATCATCACCCTGAGGGCAATTGACTGGAAAGCGTGACATGAAGATAAGATTATTTGTTTTGTTTGAAAAACTAGAACGTGATAGAGGGGAGTATTGTTAGATCTAAAAGTTAATTCATAAATATAACGAGTTCTCCATTTAAGATGGCGGCGCCCAGCGAGTAATCGCATTCGATGTCGCCAGGGTATCAGATAACTGATAAGTAATGTTCTATGCGATAGCTTATGTGAGGTAAGGGAAGTACATGTAGGTTCCTGGGGAAATTGCCGCCTCCGTGGTCTTGTGGTAGAGCGTCCGCCCGGAGAGCGGAAGGTCCGGGGTTCGATCCCCGGCCGCGTCATACCAAAAGACGTTAAAAGATGGTACTTGTTGTTACCCTGTCTGGCGCTCGACATTAAGGGGCTAAAACAAGGACAGGTCGGCTCGGAGTCAGTATACTGTGTCTGAGTTGGGTATTCATGTTAAACCCCGCCATGGTATCTCAGTGAGCTAGCACTATAAATCGGCATCAGTCCGGACTAGTACAAGCAGCCACACACACACACGTGCATGCACGTCGCTTTATAAGTGCAATAATCTTGGACGCGACGTTAAACCCAATTTCACCTCACCTCACCTCCTGGGGAAATGACGGTTTGAGGTCAGTCTGGTTGAGAGTGCTACAGTAACTGTGTGCGTATGTCTTGTTATCACATATGTAACTGAATAAACAACCTTGGCTCAAGATATCACCGTTGTGTATCACATTCATAAAAGCCTCTATGCATTTAGTCAGGAAACACATCGCCCCAACCCCAACCCCCAAACCCAAACCCAAACCCCACCCCCCAAACCCAAACCCAAACCCCAACCCCACCCCCCAAACCCAAACCCCAAACCCAACCATATCATGGGCAGTTGTGTGTTGATGTAGACTAATTACTCTAGATAGAAATAGGCTACCTCGCTCGTGATGATTCTGTCAGAGTTACATGGGCTACACACATCAAACACTCTATTTCAATTTGGGTTTGGTTTTGTGTGGATAAGCCAGGATGCTGGGAATAATCACATTTTTATCAGAGTGTTTAAAATATGACTGAGATTCTACATGAAACACTTCTCATAAATGTTCCAACAACATTTTATACAATGTACTTCCGCAAATGGAATAATATCCCTGCATTGCTATTTCTTTACATTTCAGAACGTGTTTCACAATAGTCAGATGTGGTAATTTTAGACTTATGACAGATACACTGAAGAACATACCACTGAAGATTATGTCCTCACTGTTAGACTTAATGACAAAATGTACACAGGAGATGAAATTCATGTTTTACTTGTACAGTAAACTACGGTTATAACGAACTCAAAGGGACTACTAATTTTAGTTCGGTATAACCGTAGTTCGTTATAAGCATATATACAGCATAGCTACAGCATATAGTCGGGACTAAAAAGTTAGTTCGTTATATCCGTTAGTTCGTTATAAGCGTGTTCGTTATAACCGTAGTTTACTGTATCTACAAAGGTAAAGGACGTACAGATGACCCTGGAAACTTTCGGCCCATAAGTCTTATAAGTTGCCTCGGAAAATTGTTTACGTCAGTTATTAATAAAAGATTAGACGATTATGTTGAAAGTAATAACATTCTATCAGAATCACAATCGGGTTTTAGACTAAGCTACTCCACAAATAATCATATTTTTACCCTGTATGCAATTATTGATTTACTAAAAAATAGAAAGAAAAACTGTATTGTGGTTTCGTTGATTTCAAAAAAGCCTTTGACAATGTTTGGCGTATAGGTTTATGGAAAAACATATTAGCACAAGGTAGTGATGGAAAACTTATTCGTATTATTGTTAATATGTACGATGGTATGAAATCACGTGTGTGTTCAAACGGTGTATATTCAGAACAATTCACTTGTCTTATTGGTGTCCGTCAAGGAGAAAATCTGTCCCCAATATTGTTTTCATTGTTTCTAAATGATCTGGAACCGTTGTTATATTCTCAAAACTACCCTAGTGTTTCTATTCAACCTCAGTCACTCGATGGTCTGTTGGATCTCTCCGTTGTTTTGTTCGCATTACTATATGCAGATGCAGTTTTATTAGCTTTTAATCATTAAAATTTACAAAATATGTTTGATATTTTTTCACTTTACTGCAAAAATGGAGATTGCATCTCAATACTAGTAAAACAAAAAATATAGTTTTGGGTGGTACAAAAAGTGACAAGAGTAGACATATATTGTTAAATGGCTCACCAATCGAATATATCACTGATTATAAATATCTTGGAATTCACTTTACAAATAAAAACTTTTTCAAAACTACTATAAAATCAAATTGTGAATCTGCCACTAAGGATATGTACTTTGTATTACGTAAAATTAAAACATTTAATCTATCCATAAAAAGTCAATTATATTTCTTCGATGCAATGGGAAAACCAATTCTATTTCTTGGTTGCAAAATGTTTTTGGGCTTAAGTCTGATCTGGCAAAGAACAAAAGCTACCAAGAATACAATATCACATTATATAATGAAGTTTGTACAAACAATAGGCGTCATAAATGGATAAAATGTTTGGTAAGTATTTTCAATGTAACTGGCTTCAGTTTCTATTGGCTAAGCCAACAAGCAGTTCCTCCTCATGTCCTTAAATCTATCATGTCGTTAAGATTATCTGACATAGCAACTTAAACGTGGAATGCAGAGATTACACATTCTTCTAAAAGTAACACATATCGCATATGTAAAACTGAACACGTCCATGAAAAGTATTTATTAGTTATCCCTTGGCTGCAAAATTCATTCTGTTTAGAACCTCATACCACATTTATCTACTGAACTAGGTAGGTGGCCCAAAATCCCTGTCAATGAACGAACGTGTAAACTCTGCGACATGAGCGATGTTGGTGATGAATTCCATTATATGTTTGTTTGTCCTTTCTTTTAAACACCAACGGAAGATATATGTTCCAATTTCATATGCTTAAACCCCTAATATGTTAAAATTTAAAGACCTTTTCAAATCTAAAAAAATAAATGTTATTAAGAAACTCTGTACATTCTGTAACGTCATTATGAAAACTGTAAAATCTTCCATGTAAACCACCCCGCCATCTTGTGTATTTACTGTTTGCAAATTTGTACCTCAAATGCCGAGGATCCCGGCCTGAACGTAAATATAGTTCTGTTTTGTTCTGATGCATATACTTCCAGTAAAAACGTGTGTTAGTAAATATATCTAAAATGACACATGCAATAAACACATTTAATATTAGAATGAACCCTAAAGATACACAAACAATACATGATTTATGTTACGTTAGACCCATTTAATGTGCAAAACTAAGAAATAAGTAGAATTCCACTTAATATGCTTACAATATTACTACAAAAGATATAGTGTCTGTGCTATATGTATGTATATGTCTGTGTATGTATTTGTATACCTCATTCAAAGAAAATTACTAATTACACCCTAAGAACTTTCTCCTGGTATCTATTATTATATTAATTGCAGCGCTTGGAAATGTGACGTGTATATGTCTGTATATCGGGCCAGTGGCCTCTATAGTGAAATAATCGTCTTGTCTTATCTTGCCTATTGACCTCAAGTGTTGAGGTATGATTGACATAACATGGACAAACCACTTTATTTTGTTACACTTTTGGGAACTTTGTTTGCCTTGTTCAAGGGAAAGGACTTACCTGCTCTGGCAGGGGCTGCGTTGTCTGTCACACACTGGCCTTGTACACACCACTGCAGATACACGACAGACATGGTCATGCATAGCACAACGAACACAGTATCCATTATTGTTTTCATGTGTATTGTTGAAATTGATAATTAAAGAGATTTTCACTATATTCGCTCAGGGGATAGACATTATAGAGTTTTAGATTTCGGGATGCATTTGAGTATTTGATGTCTGGCAATTTCATTTTGGAACCGACGGCGAAATATCATACAAATATTATCAATAATTATCTGAATCTCTCCATCATACGCTGCATATAGCTGAACCTGGTCCAGTCAAAACAGCTCAGTCCAGTCCGTTGTATATATCTCAGCCTTCAGCAACCCATTCTTGCCATATAAGGCGACTATATATGCTCGTCGTAAGAGGCGACTAACGGGATCGGGTGGTCAGGCGCGCTGACTTGGTTGATGCATGTCACAGTATTCCATTTGCGTGGATCGATGCTCATGATGTCAATCTCTGGATTTTCCGGTCCAGATTCGATTATTTACAGACCGCGGTCATAAAGCTTGGATATTGCTGAGTGCGGCGTTAAACAACAAACAAACGAACAAACAATCAGATTGTATTACCCACTACATTCATTTTGCAAAATTTCGTTTCATTAAGTAAATGCGTTCAAGAAGAATTCAATGTGTGGTCCAGTGTTGTAATTCCAGATTCCAACTGATATGATCCACGCTTTGCTGGCACTATGTGTAGGTTTCACGCAAGTGTCACATTGCGTCACCCCGGTGTTTCCTCCATAATTGAGCCGACACGCTATGGTGTCTTTCTAACTTGAAATCAAAGCAGTGGCAAGAATATGTTATGTATAACGCGGAACTTGCTACTAACCATGTCCCATCGTGCTGTGGTAGTGACTGTACCTGGTGATGTTAATTAGATCTTATGTGAAATTATACATACCCTCTGGTTACCACAACTGGTTCTATCAAGGGGCACCATGAACTGGCATATGCCACCAGGAGCAGTATTCGCACCACAAGCAATCCTTTGACAAATGGCATCTATTCCTAGAAAGGCAGCTGTTAACTGAAATGACAAAATAAAACCGCTTGATGGTTGTTACTATTGTGATTGCCTATATATCAGGAAATGAACGTAACGCCACAACAAGCAACATTATAACAGATGACCACGTCCCTTGCCATACGTGACGGGTACGGTTCAGTCCGCCCAAAATATATATTCCCTGAAAACCAAAGGCACCGAATAACATCTGGTATACACACGCTGCTTTATAACATGCCCAAGAAACTATAGCGAGTAAAGAGTTTGTACAGAGACATGGAGCATGAGAATAGAACTTTTCTCCGACCCACTAGGCACACAACAGATCAGCCATGTTGGAGTGTATACCCATGGCCCAAATGGCATCGGGGTACAGAGGTGAGATATCAACGCATTGTGATATGTATAGTGCTGTACTGTATAGCGAGTCTTGAGTACAGCTGTTCTTGACACGCAATGTTGTTATCTAGTGACATAGAGCTTAACCAGGAACCGAGAACTACAAGCCAACCCAAAATCAATTATTTTAATCTGTAAATAATAATAATAATAATAATAATAATAATAATAATAATAATAATAATAATAATGATAAATATAGCTGCGGGCAGCGATGTCGGGCTCTATGATATCGAGAATTACTGAGTCATATGGTTTCAGCCTACTCGAATCCGCTTTATAATACAGTGCATAAGAGTATTGTATAATGTAATTAATAATTTGATATTTCACTGACTTCTTCTTTGATAGGCATTTAGAAGTTGGAGTACTAAGTGAGGATAAGAATTTATGGATGAACAACTTCTTTATTACAATTAAGAGTGACGTTTCGGTTTAGGTTCTATCACAGTTATCAAGCAAGTGATATACAGAGTGTGGTTTTGCTGCTATAGAGTGTTGTTGACAAGTATCTATACAAGTAGGAGGCAATGTTTATGCAGTAGAGTAGATATTGTTATACTGGAGTAGAGAAGCCTGTTATGTACACAACAGGGTAGTGATGACAATCGTCGGTGAAGTCAGTGACAGAAACAAAGGATGAAGCCAGTAATATAAACAACGGGATTATGGCTGATTGGGGCCTTTGATGAGTTGATGGAACGCCGGGGGGTATGAAAATCAAAATCAAATATGGCCGCAACTAATAACTATCCAATCAAATATATCAATGTTTGATATGTTGTGTACGGAGACAAATCTCAGAAAGTTTGGTAGCATTTCATGTGGTGGATTCAGAGTCGTATGCTTTTGAAGACCTGTGTACCTAAAAGACACTGTGAAAACCCTGAATCCAAAATGGCTGCCAAACCACGTGGCCAATGGCCAAAGTTAAAGAACAAAAGATGTCAAGCACCTAAAGCAGCAGGCACATGTAGAGTGTGAAAGTAATCGGAGTAGCGGTTTCAGAGCAGCGGGACAAAATACATCTCATGCCATTAGTGAGTTAGTGAGTAATCCCCAATTGGTTTGGTTGTACCGATGCCGTCTAAAGTAAGGAAACGCTTGTGAGACATCGCCTCTACGACATTGACGTGTCCCAGAACGTCCCGGGATGTCCTGAACCCATTCTACACGCCGTCCATGTTTGAATCTGCATATGGTTTGCATGTACCAACGCCTTCAAAAGTAAGGAAACGCTTGCGAGACATTGCCTCTACGACAGTGATGTGTCCCAGAACGTCCCGGGATGTTCTACACCAATTTCTGACGCCGTCCATGTTCGAAGACACTGTGAAAACCCTGAATCCAAAATGGCTGCCAAACCACGTGGCCAGTGGCCAAAGTTAAAGAACAAAAGATGTCAAGCATCTAAAGCAGCAGGCACACGTAGAGTGTGAATGTAATCGGAGTAACGGTTTCAGAGCAGCGGGACAAAATACATCTCACGCCACTAGTAAGTGAGTGAGTATGGTTTTACGCCGCTTTTAGCAATATTCCAGCAATATCACGGCGGTGAACCTGAAATTGGTTTCACACATTGTACCCATGTCAGGAATTGACAGGTTTTCGGCGTGACGAGCGAACGCTTTAACCACAAGGCTACCCGGCCGCCCCTCATAATACCAATAAATCATTTAGTTCCAGTCATTTGAATCCACTGTATAATGCAGTGCACATGAGTATGTTATAGTGTAATTTATTACTTCATATGTCATCAGTCCGTTTTGACAAAATTGGCGGGAGCCAGAGCATTCTTGGGTGTTCTGAACCCATTCCAGTCCTTGTTCATATTCGAATCCTCAAATGGATTCTTTGTACCAATGCCGTCAAATATAGACGCCGCTACGTAATTGACGTGTACAAGGGTGTCCCAGGGCATAGAGCCCTAATAATAAATCGAACGATTACAATAGGACAATATGAACACAATAATAATCTAGACGATCCCAATCTATATACACACACGAAATTTGGTCAAAATCGGACCAGTAGTTTCAGAGTTACAAGTGTTCAAAGGTCTGCTATTCAGAGGTCTGCTGTACGGCAGCTTGGGGCCGGGTGGCAGGCCGGGTGGCAGGCCGGGTGGCAGGGGATCAAATAGTCCGGGAGCCTAGCTCCCTTGTCCATTGAGCTACAGTCAAACGAATTAGTGTTCTGACTTCGCCAGGACCCCGGGTTTCTGTCGCATTGCTTAGATAAAGTGCTGAATCTGTTTCCGGCCTCGTCCAAGTTCGAATCCCCAATTGGTTTGGTTGTACCGACGCCGTCAAAAGTAAGGAAACGCTTGCAAGACATCGCCTCTATGATTCCACTCTACATACACACACAAAATTTGGTCAAAATCGGACCAGTAGTTTCCGAGTTACAAGTGTTTAAAGGTCTGCTATTCAGAGGTCTGTTGTACGGCAGGGTGACAGGCAGGGTGACAGGCAAATAGTCCGGGAGCGTAGCTCCCTTGTCCATTGAGCTACAGTCAAACGGATTAGTGTTCTGACTTCGCCAGGACCCCGGGTTTCTGTCGCATTGCTTAGATAAGGTGCTGAACCTGTTTCCGACCTCGTCCATGTTCGAATCCCCAATTGGTTTGGTTGTACCGATGCCGTCTAAAGTAAGGAAACGCTTGCAAGACATAGCCTCTACGACATTGACGTGCCCCAGAACGTCCCGGGATGTTCTACACCCATTTCAGACGCCGTCCATGTTCGAATCCGCATATGGTTTGCTTGTACCAATGCCGTCACATGCAAGGAACCGCTTGCGAGACATCACCACAGGTGTCCAAGTGAGTTTTGAACTCACGTTTGACTTTGACCATGTTCGAATCCTCAAATGGTTTGCTTGTAACAACGCCGTCAAATGTAAGGAACTGCTTGTGAGACATCACCACAACGAAATTGACATGTGCCTGGATGTCCCATAGTGTTTTAACCAATTTCCTACATCGACCATGTTCGAATCCTCAAATGGTTTGCTTGTACCAACGCCGTCAAAAGACAGACACCGCTTGAAGAACATTGCCGCTACGAAATTGGCGTGTGCTGGAGTGTCAGAGGGCTACTTAACTCATTTCCGACCTCGACCTTGTTTGAATCCTTATATGGTTTGCTTGTACCATCGCGTCTAATTTAAGCAGCGCTTGCGGGACATCGCCGCTACGAAATTGATGGCTCTGGGGTATACCCTTTATCTTCTAAACCCATTTCTGACTTCGACCATGTTTAAATCCTAAACTGGTTTGCTTGTACCAACTCCGTCAAATGTAGGCAGCGGTTGCGGACATTGCCGCTATGACATTCGCATGTGCCGGGTGTCAAAGGCTGTTCTAAATCTATCTACGACCTCGAATCCTCATGTTCGAATCCACAAGAGGTTTGCTTGTACCAACTCAGTCAAAAGATAGTCACCATTTGCAGGACGTCACCGTTCCAAAATTGAGCGTGCCAGAGTGAATCAGAGTGTTCTAAATCCATTTCAGACCTAGACCATGTTCGAATCCTCAAATGGTTTGTTTGTACCAACGTCGTAAAACATAGTAACTGCAGGCAGGTTGGACATGGACGCAAGAAATTGGCCTGTTCTGGGGGTGTCGGGGGGCACGGGTGGCCCAGCCGTCAAAAGTAAGCATTTGGCAATTGGGAAATAAATTAGCAAGTCAGGGAGCCTGACCACCCAATCCTGATAATCGCCTATCAAGACAAGCATGGGCTGCTGAAGACCAATTCTAACCCTCATCTTCAAGAGTAGTCTACAGTCAAAGGGAAATAATCCTACCTAGATTTTACGAGGCTTCATTCTTAGTATTTTTGAAATAAATAATCACATATTACCACCAAGCAGTGTTACTTTTAGCATGCAACCAAGAACACAAAATGAAGTACATATGTGAAACTAACTTCATGCAAACTTTCAATAGTTTCTTTAAAGAACCTTACAAGATATGATCTTTAAAGTAAAATTTCGGTGATGAAAATCAAAATCAAATTTGGCCGCAACTATCAAAGATGGCCAATGACAGCTATTAAAATAGTGATTTGTTGTGTATGGAGACAATTCTCAGAACGTTTGGAAGCATTTCATTAAGCGGATTCAGAGATCCATGCTTTTGAAGACATGTACCCCCAAAACACTGGTAAAACCTTGAATTCAATATGGCTGCCAAACCACGTGACCAATGGCCAAAGTCAAAGAACAAAAAATGGCAGGCACCTAAAGCAGCAGACACATTCCAATTTTGAAGGTAATCGGACAAGCGGTTTGGGTGCAATAGGCCAACATAAATGTTAAAAAAAATCTTGTTTTTTGGTTATCTGCCCTTGGTCTTTGGGCCTACGGCATTGGGATTTTTGTGGTATCTGCTTTAGGACATTGGAAATCTTGGTGCCAATTTTGAAGAAATTCTGAGCTGTAGTTCTTGAGTTATGATTGGAACAAAAAACGCCGGAATAATAATAATAATAAAGAATAATAATAATAATAATAATAATAATAATAATAATAATAAATCGAACGATTACAATAGGTCTCTTGCCTTTCAGGCATAGAGCCCTAATTATAATAATAATAATAATTGTTCTCGGTGCCTTAGGTTTGGTACCTCCCAATCTGTTAACTGACATAGGGAGAGTATCCGGGTTTGCTGCGAGGAATACAGCCCTTCTGATAATCTGGGTACTGCAGAAGGCTGCAGTGTTGGGGAGTCTTCACATTCTCCGAAACGTTCTGAGTGGGTTTGACTGAGCAGCGCTTCCCTGGAGAAGTCCCATTCGCTGTCTGGGCTGCGTGTAGAGGGGGACAAGGGCACTGAGCTGATGATGAGCCTAACCAGCCTGACTGTGCCAGGATCACCCAAACACTCTGTGCTGCATTTTTTTCATTTTAATCTGTACATAATGTTGTTTTATCATATATGTTAAAATGGAGTTTAACGTCACGTGTGTGTGTGTGTGTGGCTGCTTGTACTAGTCCGGATTTATAGTGTTAGCCCAGTGAGATACCATGCCGCAGTTTCACATGAGCACCCCACTCAGACACAGTATAACTTCAGGTATGTTATACCAGATTTGCTTCATACCCGACAGAAACGCGTTCCAGGCATAAACCTTGCACACTGTGCGTCAGCATCGGTGAGCTGCCCAGCAATCGATCCATTGTTGGTAAGAACTGGCCCTCCAGGAACATTTGCTACCAAGGCGCAGTTGGTATTCCGGGTGCTGGAACAAAGTGTAAGCAGAACTATTGTTGTATGGGTGAGTGAGGTAGTTTGGTTTAGCACCGCTTTGAAAAGTATTCCAGTTATGTCACGGCGTGTCAGCTTTATGTTGGAGGAAAGCGGGTATTAGACGTTTACCACTTTGGTGAACCCACTAGCACGGGTAAGGTGCTGACGAACCTTAAAACATAATCAAGGTGACCCTGGATTAGAACCCACAATCATAGTGTGTCGTAGAAAGCGGTAAAGGAGGCGGGTTTACTTCAGTGTGTTGTAGAAGGCGGTGAAGGAGGCGGACTTACTTCAGTGTGTTGTAGAAGGCGGTAAAGGAGGCGGGCTTACTTCAGTGTGTTGAAGAATGCGGTAAAGGAGGCGGACTTACTTCAGTGTGGTTAACTTCCTTCAGTGTGATGTTGAAGGCGGTAAAGGAGGCGGACTTAATTCAGTGTGTTGTAGAAGACGGTTAAGGAGGCGGACTTACTTCAATGTGTTGAAGAAGGCGGTAAAGGTGATGAACTTACTTCAGTGTGATGTAGGAGGCGGTAAAGGAGGCGGGCTTACTTCGGTGTGTTGTAGAAGGCGGTAAAGGGGGCGGACTTACTTCAGTGTGTTGAAGAATGCGGTAAAGGAGGCGGGCTTACTTCAGTGTGTTGAAGAAGGCGGTAAAGGTGATGAACTTACTTCAGTGTGATGTAGGAGGCGGTAAAGGAGGCGGGCTTACTTCAGTGTGATGTAGAAGGCGGTAAAGGTGGCGGACTTACTTCAGTGTGTTGAAGAATGCGGTGAAGGAGGCGGGCTTACTTCAGTGTGATATAGAAGGCGGTAAATGTGGTGAACTTACTTCCGTGTGTTGAAGAAGGCGGTAAATGTGATGAACTTACTTCATTGTGATGTAGGAGGCGGTAAAGGTGATGAACTTACTTCAGTGTGATGTAGAAGGCGGTAAAGGAGGCGGACTTACTTCCGTGTGTTGAAGAAGGCGGTAAAGGTGATGAACTTACTTCATTGTGATGTAGGAGGCGGTAAAGGTGATGAACTTACTTCAGTGTGTTGTAGAAGGCGGTAAAGGTGATGAACTTACTTCAGTGTGATGTAGAAGGCGGTAAAGGAGGCGGACTTACTTCCGTGTGTTGAAGAAGGCGGTAAAGGTGATGAACTTACTTCATTGTGATGTAGGAGGCGGTAAAGGTGATGAACTTACTTCCGTGTGTTGAAGAAGGCGGTAAAGGTGATGAACTTACTTCATTGTGATGTAGGAGGCGGTAAAGATGATGAACTTACTTCAGTGTGATGTAGAAGGTTGGAAGGGTGGTGAACTTACTTCAGTGTGATGTAGAAGGTGGTAAAGGAGGCGGACTTACTTCCGTGTGTTGAAGAAGGCGGTAAAGGTGATGAACTTACTTCATTGTGATGTAGGAGGCGGTAAAGGTGATGAACTTACTTCAGTGTGATGTAGAAGGCGGTAAAGGAGGCGGACTTACTTCCGTGTGTTGAAGAAGGCGGTAAAGGTGATGAACTTACTTCATTGTGATGTAGGAGGCGGTAAAGGTGATGAACTTACTTCAGTGTGATGTAGAAGGCGGTAAAGGAGGCGGACTTACTTCCGTGTGTTGAAGAAGGCGGTAAAGGTGATGAACTTACTTCATTGTGATGTAGGAGGCGGTAAAGATGATGAACTTACTTCAGTGTGATGTAGAAGGTTGGAAGGGTGTTGAACTTACTTCAGTGTGATGTAGAAGGCGGTAAAGGAGGCGGACTTACTTCCGTGTGTTGAAGAAGGCGGTAAAGGTGATGAACTTACTTCATTGTGATGTAGGAGGCGGTAAAGGTGATGAACTTACTTCAGTGTGATGTAGAAGGCGGTAAAGGAGGCGGGCTTACTTCGGTGTGTTGTAGAAGGCGGTAAAGGGGGCGGACTTACTTCAGTGTGTTGAAGAATGCGGTAAAGGAGGCGGGCTTACTTCAGTGTGTTGAAGAAGGCGGTAAAGGTGATGAACTTACTTCAGTGTGATGTAGGAGGCGGTAAAGGAGGCGGGCTTACTTCAGTGTGATGTAGAAGGCGGTAAAGGTGGCGGACTTACTTCAGTGTGTTGAAGAATGCGGTGAAGGAGGCGGGCTTACTTCAGTGTGATGTAGAAGGCGGTAAATGTGGTGAACTTACTTCCGTGTGTTGAAGAAGGCGGTAAATGTGATGAACTTACTTCATTGTGATGTAGGAGGCGGTAAAGGTGATGAACTTACTTCAGTGTGATGTAGAAGGCGGTAAAGGAGGCGGACTTACTTCCGTGTGTTGAAGAAGGCGGTAAAGGTGATGAACTTACTTCATTGTGATGTAGGAGGCGGTAAAGGTGATGAACTTACTTCAGTGTGTTGTAGAAGGCGGTAAAGGAGGCGGACTTACTTCCGTGTGTTGAAGAAGGCGGTAAAGGTGATGAACTTACTTCATTGTGATGTAGGAGGCGGTAAAGATGATGAACTTACTTCAGTGTGATGTAGAAGGTTGGAAGGGTGGTGAACTTACTTCAGTGTGATGTAGAAGGCGGTAAAGGAGGCGGACTTACTTCCGTGTGTTGAAGAAGGCGGTAAAGGTGATGAACTTACTTCATTGTGATGTAGGAGGCGGTAAAGGTGATGAACTTACTTCAGTGTGTTGTAGAAGGCGGTAAAGGTGATGAACTTACTTCAGTGTGATGTAGAAGGCGGTAAAGGAGGCGGACTTACTTCCGTGTGTTGAAGAAGGCGGTAAAGGTGATGAACTTACTTCATTGTGATGTAGGAGGCGGTAAAGGTGATGAACTTACTTCCGTGTGTTGAAGAAGGCGGTAAAGGTGATGAACTTACTTCATTGTGATGTAGGAGGCGGTAAAGATGATGAACTTACTTCAGTGTGATGTAGAAGGTTGGAAGGGTGGTGAACTTACTTCAGTGTGATGTAGAAGGCGGTAAAGGAGGCGGACTTACTTCCGTGTGTTGAAGAAGGCGGTAAAGGTGATGAACTTACTTCATTGTGATGTAGGAGGCGGTAAAGATGATGAACTTACTTCAGTGTGATGTAGAAGGTTGGAAGGGTGGTGAACTTACTTCAGTGTGATGTAGAAGGCGGTAAAGGAGGCGGACTTACTTCCGTGTGTTGAAGAAGGCGGTAAAGGTGATGAACTTACTTCATTGTGATGTAGGAGGCGGTAAAGGTGATGAACTTACTTCAGTGTGATGTAGAAGGCGGTAAAGGAGGCGGGCTTACTTCGGTGTGTTGTAGAAGGCGGTAAAGGGGGCGGACTTACTTCAGTGTGTTGAAGAATGCGGTAAAGGAGGCGGGCTTACTTCAGTGTGTTGAAGAAGGCGGTAAAGGTGATGAACTTACTTCAGTGTGATGTAGGAGGCGGTAAAGGAGGCGGGCTTACTTCAGTGTGATGTAGAAGGCGGTAAAGGTGGCGGACTTACTTCAGTGTGTTGAAGAATGCGGTGAAGGAGGCGGGCTTACTTCAGTGTGATATAGAAGGCGGTAAATGTGGTGAACTTACTTCCGTGTGTTGAAGAAGGCGGTAAATGTGATGAACTTACTTCATTGTGATGTAGGAGGCGGTAAAGGTGATGAACTTACTTCAGTGTGATGTAGAAGGCGGTAAAGGAGGCGGACTTACTTCCGTGTGTTGAAGAAGGCGGTAAAGGTGATGAACTTACTTCATTGTGATGTAGGAGGCGGTAAAGGTGATGAACTTACTTCAGTGTGATGTAGAAGGCGGTAAAGGAGGCGGACTTACTTCCGTGTGTTGAAGAAGGCGGTAAAGGTGATGAACTTACTTCATTGTGATGTAGGAGGCGGTAAAGGTGATGAACTTACTTCAGTGTGATGTAGAAGGCGGTAAAGGAGGCGGACTTACTTCCGTGTGTTGAAGAAGGCGGTAAAGGTGATGAACTTACTTCATTGTGATGTAGGAGGCGGTAAAGATGATGAACTTACTTCAGTGTGATGTAGAAGGTTGGAAGGGTGGTGAACTTACTTCAGTGTGATGTAGAAGGCGGTAAAGGAGGCGGACTTACTTCCGTGTGTTGAAGAAGGCGGTAAAGGTGATGAACTTACTTCATTGTGATGTAGGAGGCGGTAAAGGTGATGAACTTACTTCAGTGTGATGTAGAAGGCGGTAAAGGAGGCGGGCTTACTTCGGTGTGTTGTAGAAGGCGGTAAAGGGGGCGGACTTACTTCAGTGTGTTGAAGAATGCGGTAAAGGAGGCGGGCTTACTTCAGTGTGTTGAAGAAGGCGGTAAAGGTGATGAACTTACTTCAGTGTGATGTAGGAGGCGGTAAAGGAGGCGGGCTTACTTCAGTGTGATGTAGAAGGCGGTAAAGGTGGCGGACTTACTTCAGTGTGTTGAAGAATGCGGTGAAGGAGGCGGGCTTACTTCAGTGTGATATAGAAGGCGGTAAATGTGGTGAACTTACTTCCGTGTGTTGAAGAAGGCGGTAAATGTGATGAACTTACTTCATTGTGATGTAGGAGGCGGTAAAGGTGATGAACTTACTTCAGTGTGATGTAGAAGGCGGTAAAGGAGGCGGACTTACTTCCGTGTGTTGAAGAAGGCGGTAAAGGTGATGAACTTACTTCATTGTGATGTAGGAGGCGGTAAAGGTGATGAACTTACTTCAGTGTGTTGTAGAAGGCGGTAAAGGAGGCGGACTTACTTCCGTGTGTTGAAGAAGGCGGTAAAGGTGATGAACTTACTTCATTGTGATGTAGGAGGCGGTAAAGATGATGAACTTACTTCAGTGTGATGTAGAAGGTTGGAAGGGTGGTGAACTTACTTCAGTGTGATGTAGAAGGCGGTAAAGGAGGCGGACTTACTTCCGTGTGTTGAAGAAGGCGGTAAAGGTGATGAACTTACTTCATTGTGATGTAGGAGGCGGTAAAGGTGATGAACTTACTTCAGTGTGTTGTAGAAGGCGGTAAAGGTGATGAACTTACTTCAGTGTGATGTAGAAGGCGGTAAAGGAGGCGGACTTAC